GATAACACCTCCCGGAAGGTTCATTTTTAGAATAGCAGTATAAAAGTTTTGTCACTGTTGCAGGTACGAATAAGCGGATAAGAGTAAAAATCACGACACGCTAAATATGAAACAAATGTTATTATTTATAAGTGCAAATTTATATATCTTTATATATGACAAAAAATTCAGATGGCTACATTCATCATCCAAAATGTTAAAAATATCGGTTAGTTGATAGTCTAGTTCTTTTTGTTTACCATACAGAGGTCTAATGCGAGGCGTCTGCCATTTATTTTTTAGACAGTAAGCACTTCCTTCTTGCATTTTTGTAAGTGTTTTATAGAGCTGAAAGTACTACAGGTCTCTATGGTAGTCTGCGTATACATACGAAACACTCTATATTGCAGGCCTATAGTTGATATTAACCTACGATTCTCGTAGTACCCAGAACAAAATGTCATATTAAACCTTGGAAAAAGATATCGAATGATAAATTCACCTTTTCAACCGAAGCGGTATTATATTTGTAATTTTGTAGATGCATCTAATTGCTCTTGATAGTTCTGTTTTGAGATGTGTCATGTGCGTGTTACACGTAAATTCGTCGTGGAAACAAACACCGAATTTTTTTGTTGTGTTACTTGTTCTAAGCTGGTACCGCTGAATTTAATTGCAGTCATGTTATTGTCACGATTGTTTTCTGGTCTGGATATAACATATTTGGATTTAGAAGGACTGATATGCAGTTCATTTTTTTCCCAGCAACTCAGGCAAATTTTCAATATAACTTTGGTCCATATCTTTGAGAACTTTTTAATCAGTTCCACTAAGAATTCATTCGTGTCATGCGCAAACATCGCTGTGTCTGGCGAATTTAGAATATTGACTATTTTATTTATGTAAACTAGCGTCAATGACGGGCCCATACTGGAGCCTTGGGGGACGCCATGTTTGATTAGTAGTTTATTTCAAAACGCAGTATAGTAGTTAGTTGCAAGACGGTCCCACGTATACCTTAGCGCTCGCGTTTTCCCAATAAAACAGTATATTGTACTGTATCAAATGCCTTTTCAAGGTCTATAAATGTTTCCAGTGGATATAACTTGTTTCCTATAATATCTTTTATTTTATCCTTCATATGAAAAACAAAACTTGCGCAGTGGACCTATTTTATTTTTTTTAAACAAACCACTGTTTTGGTTAATGTAGCATGTTTTGAGAAATAGTTTTCTGTACTCCGTTTCGCCTTATGTTGTACCGCAGCGAAGGCTGAAGCGCGAGCTCATAGCGTTGGTAGCTGCTCCTGCTGCACGAGAGCTTGTGCTGCCGAGATGTGCCCTACAGCAAGGGGCTCGCGCTTGTAGCCTTTTCTGCGGTACATGGTAAGGTGAAACAGAGTATAGCCGGTTGCCAAGTGCAAGATCCGCTAGTTTGGACAAAAATTGATAAAACTGTTATTGGCCTGTAGTTTTCAGAATTGCCGTGTCCCCGCTTTTGTGAATCGGACTTACACTGGCAATTTTGAGATGGTCAGGAATAAACATCTGGTTCGTTAAATGCGAAATAATGAAGCTTAGCGTGGACGATGCATACTTGACTGGAAGAGATTCCATCCCGTCAAAACCAGATGCAGCGTTATTATTTTACGTTTCTGATTATTTTATCAACTTCGTACAGTCGTTGGAAATAACATAATGGCGATGTTTGAAGGTGCTTAGCTCTGGATTCCGTCACCTTTTTTTGGTTCTGTGTATGCCCCTACCTTTATAAAGCAGGTGTTAATTGCCTCTACAAGCTTCTGGCCAGTCCGGCTTTCGTTTTCCTAGACTGATGGCCTCAAGGTATTTTCTCTACTGGTTACACTGTTAATGGTTTCCCACACCTTCCTTCGGTAATTGTAAACATTTGCAAACTTTTGCAGATGATATTCTCGTTTTCCCCTTTCAAGATGGGTATTCAAGTCATTTCTTATTGTCTTGAATTTAAGTAGAGAATTTGGGTCACGACATTTAATAAAAGTATGATAATCCGATATTCTTGCTTAATTAATTTTATTAAGGTAAGATTTATTCACAGTTTTCTTATCTTTTTATTTCTGACATTGGATACAACTAGCGGAAATTCAGCCTCGTATATTAGTTGAGGAATCGAGGAAAATACACTAGGAGGTAAGATTTAAGTTGTTTTTATCTTCAAAAACGTCGTTCTAGTTCGTTTGTGTAAAAATTTACTAAACTTTTTCACTGATTCATTATTTGTTTTCCTGTACACCTTGCTTTCTTTATTGCGACTTTTATCAGCATTTTTGATATATGTCAAACATAAAATTGGCATTTGATTACTGATAACTTGCGTTATTACGCCTGGCATACTATCAGAGTTTATATTGTAACACAAGCATCAAGCGACGTTGCACTTGTCGTGGTTAGTCTAGTTTGCAGTGTTATGTTGTTCATACGGTTGTAAGAACGTAGCATGTTGTGAAACCGCCTCGCCGCTGACTCCTCAGATGTAGTATTAATGTTTACATCGCCAAGGGTAAGGAAGGGCAGATGGAAATCCCCTAGGAAAGCTAGCGTCATCAAAAAAGCCAAGAAATGAAAACACGTTCCCCGCTGATGGTCGGCATACGCACAGCAATAATTACATTTCTTGTGTTTGCTAGCATACATTCGGTACCTGTATTCAGAACTGAATATCCGTCTGGCTCAATGTTCAAATGACATTCTTTTACAAAACTCGCTATACCACCCGCTCTCTTTATGCTCCGAATCGTGCCCGCTTCTTTGTAACCCAAAATATTCGGTAACTGGCCGTTGGCAGCTAGTCACATTTCCGTTAAAAAAAGAGCATCAAAGCTATATCTTAAAGAAGTTAAAAACAGTTCGAACATATCTCCCTTGCTGTCCATCCCGCGCATGTTCATGTGAGGTGCTGAGAAACTGGTTTTGTATTTTTATAAAAGGTGTTGAAACGTAGGTACAAGTCTTTTTAATGATTAAGGGTGTTTTGAATCATTGTAAAAGAAACTTTTCCACGCGATTATCTGTTGGCTATCATTTTACGCAGTCATTTTTACGCATCCTCTTGGCCGTCAGTTTTAATAGTATCACTGTTGCCATCCCGGTTCGTAAACCCTCTCACCAGTTAACCTCACGTATTTTCATCCAGAAGCTTGTTGGCCAATACTAGCGGAGATCAATATTTTTTTTTTCTGCAGAGTTCGGTGCTCGTTTACGTACACTGGGCGTTTTCCGCCTGGAAACCCGAGCACTGTAGTATGAATCATAGCATTTTGGGCCGTTGCCAGAACCGCATTTTGTGTTGTTCGATGAACGAAGCGTACATTGGCAATGGTTTCGGCGTCTCTAAGAGTAGAGACTCGATGGCAGACAGCGATGTCTTTGTCTAGGGTGGGTTTTCCCAAAACTTCACATAGCGTCTTAACTGTCTCGCAGGGATCGCCTTCTGGGGGCACCCCTTTTACCCCCAGGTTGTCAGTCCTTTGAAACAGCTCTAGTTGCCCAATTTGATCATCAGTGACTTGTGCTTTGTTCGGAGCTGGCCAGCGTCTGTGAATTGCTTCACCCTCTTTTTAGGTTTTTTTAGTTCGGCTGGGATTGTTTTAACCTCATTATACGTGTCACTATTTTGCGGCGTAAGTCTTCCATAGCCATCATATAGTCTTTTTGCTCTTATCATCTTTGGTCAAGACAGGCAAGCAAACACACACACACAAGAGTGACAAGATTAAACAAAATGGCAGGTGAATTCCCTGTTTGGCAACGAGGCACAATTATAACACCAAAAAAAATGTTTGCGCAAACAGAAGTTCTCACCTGCAAACAGGTAAAAGATTGAAATTAGGCACAGTTGGTCGTGCCTCGGCTACCAAAATGAGCCAGGGACCTGCTGTATGTTGCCCTTTGTGGTGGTGCTTTCTGATTGTGTTCCCAGCTAATGAATCGATGTTACGCTCTTGTATGTGGTCCAGCGTGTTTGCATTGCTTTGTCAGCGCTGGTATTTTCGGCAAGGATAAAATAGGCAATCGCAGTCGTAAACAGGAAAAAGATTAAAGTTAGACACTGTTGAACATGTTTCAGCTGCCAAACTAATTTTCCTTAAATGATATATTTATAATCACAAGACTTTGCCCCGACCGGACTACAAAATCTATTTATCGTGTCAGATAGGCATATCGGGGTTCACGTTTTATTCGTATACAAAAAAATGGTAACTCGCATGCTGGCAACCTTTCCAACCAGGGTCAGCTACCCTCAACGAAGTGCGACTCGACGTTTTGAAAAGCCAGTGTTTGCCGCAGACCTAGCGGTCGAGCGGTGAACTGGCACCCTTACGGATCCCCGTAAAAATAAAATAAAATAAGTTACATTGGCAGGCACTGGAGTAATCGTAGTTGCGTCAATAGCAAAAAAATCTCAGGTCGCGCGCCATATTGAGAGGTGAGTTTTTGTCTCCAAAGAAATCTTTTTTTTTAGTCTCAAAACGTAACTATCGTGCTATTCTTTTTTTACAAAAAAAGTTTTTCGTATGACATAAGTCTGCAATCCAGGCACCTAAAGAACATTTAGGAATAAAAGCGAGTTTTAGTGCTCCGTGTTTCCCCCTCCGTTAAGCCCCTCCGCTACCCGGAACTCTACAGCCAAGGCCATCGGCGAGCAGGCGCAGTGGCGGTTTCTTCGTAGTGGAGGGCCAGCGAAGGGGGAAACACGGTCTACTAAAACTCCCTAATATGTCCCTAAGAGAGACTGCAAAGCGTTCTTCTATTTTGGGGTCGACGTGCCGAAACATCAAAATCGCTCATAACTTAAAATGTATCTAATGACTAAAACGCAACGCTCTATTTTTTTTTTTTGTGAAAGTTTATTTTATGCTGCATGTTTAACATCCAAATACTACAGAAAAAAATAAAGTAATTTTGGGAGTACAGTGTTTCCGCAAGTGTTGCCCTACTCCTTCCGTGGTATTGACCAGCGCCATTTTCTCCCTCGTCCAGTGTCTCAGACAAGATTGCTGGCACTGGCGCTGATGTCCACGCTGATGCTTCTGGTGGTGGACGCCCGCTACCTGCCCACCAGGAGCGACGACCTCCAGAAGGACCACATCAGAGACATCCTCAGAGGCGTACGTCTGCTCCATCAGTCCGAACGCTGCAACTATACTTGTGGCCTTCCATGTGTTTTTGTTTTAGTTACATTTTGAGACCCGGCACAATAACGACGCTCCTGAATGTGTGCGGTTGTTGCGCTGTTTGTTGTGGTCATCAGACGCAGGAGCTAAACTGTTCACACTTTTCACTTCGGGATTGGCTCTTCGGGTTCTGTCGGCGAATGCCTCACTCTCATTGGCTGCGGAGCACTAATGAGACCCTCGGCAGTCACCACGCTCCGCGTTTATTAAACTGTTCACTGGCAATGCACTTCGTTCCAGCTCACGTCCAGACGCTGCCAACGCTACGAGCTAATAGTAGCCATCCAAGAGCGCCAAAAACGCAAGTCGATTGGCCTTGGCTGCACATGATTGTGTCAGCCACGATAAAAAAAAGTATAGAAACGTGGCGAACACTCTGACGTTGCGCTTTTGACGTAGTTTGATTGGTGTGACCGGTTCGTACAATCTCAACACTAAAGGTTGCGGTCTTACACTTTTTGTTGTGCCATATCATAAACTCCAAAAATTCAGTTCCCCGTACAGCGCACTGACGTCAAAATTACTGCCCAAACTTTTACGAGAAGCTTGATAACGGCGCGATACAAAATATAAAATAGCTAAATACATATCAAAGACTACATAAAAATCCCGCCGAGATTGTGCAGAAAGGCCAAGAAACCCCAATTATATATTTTGTCCTGTCTCAGGCCGAAACGCCGACTCACTAAATGCTTTAAAACTCCAACAATGTTTCGAAGTGCGACTTCATTACTTATTGTAGTCATTAGCATGTGCATTTTCTATGCTAATAAGTTGAACCACTTGGTTATCAAGCCGCTCGTGTACGGTGATACCAGAGGTTCGACGTCGGGGCGCTGAGCGTGCAACTGAAGTTTCGGGGTGTATTATGTGGGACCAAGGGTGCAATACTATACCTTTTTTTTTTCTGAGAGAACAGCGACTGTTGTGCCAGAAAGATTGCAGAAAAACAGATGTGTGCTTCTGTTGCGTTTGGGGTCTGAACGTCAGCAGCCCTGGGCATCGCCATCATCGTTGTCGCTGTCGTCGTCGTCTTCCGTTTATTTCGCATGCATACGAACAGCTAATTGCCTCCATTAGAATGTGCAAAAAAAGCATTACAGATTTTGAGGTGTTGATAACTATACTTAATGATGTAGTTATTCAATATTATTTATGGGTCATGAAGTTAGCCAAGGTTGTAAATCAAGAAAAGAAATAGACATAACTGATAACAACGCATCGTAGACAAATATGGTTAAACTAGAAAGTACTTTTTTTTTTGTTTTTTGGCTTCTGTAGTAGTATGGACAACTGGCGGTTGTTTTTTCCCCTTAAGATGCGCGATGGGATTACACGGCTCTGTAAAGACGTTCTCTTCGAATCTAGAATCGGGGACCGGCTAGAACCCAGATGTGTTGGATCATGCATCGCGTTTTTTTTTTATTATTAAAGACGCCACTAAATACCGCAACAATACTTTACGTTTCATCTGCCTGGAAAAAAGTATGTCGCAATCGTTCGTTCCGTTTTCATAAGGCAAAAGAAGCAGAGAATATCGTATTTTTTGTGTTTTTGGTGCTCAGGGTGAGTAGGATGAGTTCGCTTCGTAAAATAGACGATATAAAAATTTTATTTATCGTGCCTTAAAACAAATAAAAAGTGGCACGAATAAAGCTCTATTGCATGACGCAAACAGAATGAATGCATTATACATTAGGCGAATTTGTTTAGACCTAAATAAGTACGTTAATCGAAAGCGGGAGAGCAACCTCGCCGTTTATTACTCCAGAACAAGGTCTAAATATTTACTCATGCGAATGCCAACAACTTTAGGCCTGCCTTAACTGTGGCGCAAGTCTAAATTTGGAACAAGCATGGTGTAAACAGACTGCCAAACTTTGTTTGCAAAAATTAGTTTTTTGTGTGTTGTTTGAATGTGTTTGTGCAGTTAAGTTTAGGTTAGGCCTCGCACGCAAGGCCAAAAGAAAACGGTAGAATCTGAGAGTTTGCGTTTATATTAGATGTCGTTTTTGACACTGCCCGGAAATTGCCCGCATGTTCCGAAAACCTCCCGCGGCAACGAAGTCGATCGCTGCGCCCTATTTCTTAATTTGACACGTCTCTCACCCTCGCTTGTGCCTTGTTTCTTTTTTTGTTTTCCTGTCTCTTGCAGGTTTTTCCTTAGCCAATGAAGTGGCGTAAGTTGTTTTCTCCACAAAGTGTATCTTCGCGAAACCCGCCTTAGAACTTTCGACTGTGCGAAACGTTCGTTTTGTTTCTTGGAATTTTTAGCGGACAAGCCGGTTTTTGTGGAAGTTTGATTTTTGTGGCTTGTTTCGCTCGTGTGCTCGGATCTGAAAGAGCCTTGAACAAGATCGCGCTAGTTTGAGAATAATCACGGCCTCGTTTCATGAGCGCAGATACAAAAGGTAATCTTTGCTAAACTGTTTGAATATACCGGAAGCGCGTCTCCCAGATACAAGTTGTGTATCGTTCCACAACTCCATGGTTTTTTTTTTTTTTGTTGTTGTTTTTTTTTACCTGGGGACGTTAATCTGGATACAGACAAGACCGCTGGTTTGTTATGGATGCGTAATCACCTGATAACCCTTGAATGGACCGTAAAATTCCCATGCAATTTAATATTTATTTATTAAACCGCGATTTGTTTCGTCGACTTATACTGTACCGTGAAATTACGGCATAATATAGACTAGGCACCTCTACTTGGCATTTTTTTATGTAAAATTATATTTATATATACGAATGAGCAAAAAAACGAGGGCTTCAAAGGGCAAAAGGGTTTTCTTTTTTTTTAATTTTGCCATTATTTGAAGAGCTGTTGCTGGTTTTCAGGATTTAATATTCTGATAACCACTTTGACTAAATAAATACCATTATATTGTATTTTTTGAGGGAAAGGGGGAAAATATTTTCCAAAGAACCTCAATGTCAATACCGAGAGTACTCGTTTCCAAAGTGTCTTTGTTCGTGCAAGCTCTTTGTTTTTTTGTTTTTTTTGTTTTGTTTTTTTTGTTTTTTGGTAGAAGCGGTGGCTTAAGGCACACTGTTAAATACTAGTTATATTATCATTTTATGCATTGCAGTAGACAAGTGCGAACCGGAATTCCCGTTGAGAATGGCTTAGAGGTGACGCTGTCTTCACACACACGCAGTTACGTTCAGGGATGACATGTCAGACATTCTTCCAGCCGACTGTTTACATTTTATTTTAAGCTGCAGTCGCTTTCTTTTTTTTCTCAGTAGAAGCAAACAAAAAGAAAATGCTAACTTTTTTTTTGGCATTGACGTTGTCACCTTGAGGTTGAAGGACAATGAAACACTCTAAACCGTAGCAGACCGAAACATTGTTCGAGCCATCAAGAGCTTCCAGTCAACACCACCCAGAATAATCGAAGCCTGTAAAAAATCACTTCTACATAAATTTATATAAATAGAATGGCTCAAACTTTGTTGGCTGTCACATCAAGAAAAATAAAAAAGAAGTACGTTTTGCGCATTATTCGTGCGCTGTACGAAGTAGTTCTTGCCAGATTTGGTTGTCGGAGAAAGAAACGATGCCTTAGTCGCTTGAAGCGTGTACGTATTGATAAAATAACAAATAAGGTAATGTAAAATGCACCAACGTATATCTTAATTCGTCACAAAAAGAGGTAAAGTTGTAGTACTCTGCGAGAAGACGGACTTTTCTTTAGTGCTGTCCTTGAGGTGATTACGAGTACAAGCAATCAGAAAAGATCCCGACGCCAAAGCGCCCTCGGCACATTGATTGAATAGAAGACGCAGCTGAACAGAACACTATCGTAACGCTCCTGTAGAATCTCTGACAATGTTCTCTTTCTCACTGTGATGAGATCAAAATCATATTGTACGGACTTTCATTTTTTTTAGGTAGTGTTGATTCAGCGCGAGACGAAGCGAAGGCATAACTTAACTTTAAGCGGAGAACTGGCGTCTAGTGCCAACTAGTTCAATTACACAGATACACACACAAAAAAAAAAACTGTCTGGTGGTAATATGGTTAAGTTGTCAGACCCTCCAAACGAGACGCGTTTGAACTAACCCACGTGCTGCACCTTTTGTTTCTAGAAGGAACAGGCGACTTTGTGTAAAGCAGAAGTCTTCGGCGTCACAGTATGACAGGCAGAAACTACCGTATTTTCTCGACCAGTAGACATGTTGTCTATAACCAAGGCCAATAGGTCCGCTTTTTCGTCGAGAACGCGGTTAGCCAATCAAAGTGATGGACAGAAAATAGCCAGCGATGTGCGGGCAGGGATACGTGACGTGTTTTCGGGAAATTGCCATCTGCGCAGATGGCATTTTAACGGAGAATCCTGTTCTCGACACGTTTGTTATACAGAACTTGAAATTTTGCTGTAAGTCTGCTCTCCGTGAAAGAATAAGTAGAACAGCCATTACTCGAGTAAATACTGTAAAAGGCGTAAAGAAACAAACACTGTTTTTTAATACTTGAACGCGCCGCCACGACTCCGCAATTATGTCGCAAAGTAAACCTGCATGAGCAAGGTGCCATGAAAACCGTTCGCTTTTTTCTATCCGTGCTTTGTCCCTCTCCTAACTCTTTCGAATACTAAGTCCTTTACAACAACCTCTTCCCGCCAGCGTTATCATCGTCGCCAATGTCCGGTACGTTATGATTAGCTAGTCAAGCAGACCCGTTACTTATACCGGAACAGTGGGCTAGAAGAATTACTTGAGTACCAATTACCCTAAGTAGTCCGTCCACTCATGGTGGTGTTTAAGGAGCTTAGCGAGAGCGAATCGGCACGAGTATTGCCGCATTTCGTTTATTCATTAAGCTCTTTAGGGTCCGTCTGGACTTCAGCCTGGACTGAAGTTAAGGTTGGCTACATCCGCGTATGCTTGGTTTTCCCGCGACACGGGCATTTTTCCGGCTATGGGGATCGTTCCTGCTTCCTTTGAAGCTGGGGGATGGAGCTTATATTAGAAGTTTTCCTGCAGTTTTGGTTAGCATGAGACGAATTCAATACTCGTGTTTCAGCGAAAAGGATGTTAATAGAACCCACTTACGAGATGCAAAGACGGTTTCTTTGTTTTATCCGTCTCTTCCACCAAACGACGCTTGATCCTTTTTTTTTTTTTTTGTAATTATCATAATTAGATGTTTCGCTAAAGTGGCCCAAATAAATGGTCAAAAATATAATTACACTGATTTATTCGCCAGTTTTTATATGTTCGGAAACATTCAAGTAAGTCCCAAATAATTACATGTATTTTTGTTTTCTTTCTTGGTGCCTTAGGAAAGGGAGCAATTCGTCATGCTTTATTTATATCTGAAACGTAAACATAATCCCAAATTTGTTACTAAGATGATCAATATCGAGGGTTTCAAGACAATGACGGAGTTATCAGTACGAGAGCGATAGAAATGCAGCGCATGCAGCCTCGACAACCGGCCCAATCCGGCTAGTGTCTATGTCAGATCGAAGGGAACATCAAGAAAAACAAAATAATGATGCAAAACACTCAAAAACACAAAGAAACGCACACCCAGGACGTCATAGAGATGAATTACTACTGCTTCCATGCCTGTTCACGTGATGCCACTTAGCTATTGCTGATATCTGGGATAGTTGTTCCTACAGCTAGGTATCACAGTTCATCGCCTTCTCGTATTCTTAACCCGCCACTCTATGACGATATCTCCAGGAGCATGACTTAAGTCATGGGGACGCTTAAAGTCACTAAATCATGGGAAAGTAACGCCATTGCCTTCCCTGTCTGCTACCCGGGCACAAACAAATACTAACGTACAAACGACCAAAACCTCGCTAGGTGATTGGCTGATCGGTGTCCGTTGCCATGGCAATCAGCATTTGACCCCATCATGTTTTCTAAGCTCCGAGAGGGTCGTTCTAAACCAGTCGCACCAAGATTGCCAAGGAGCATCATTGCACTGGATGCGTTCCTCGCCACTATAAACGTCTTAAGCACTGTGTATGCAATCAACTCATCAATCATGCCCATTTTCCGGCATTTCTTACAATTTATATTGTTTTTGTTGCGTATTTCAAGACAAGAACATTATTTTTTAATGCTTCCATGAACGAATACGGCATGTGGTGGCGGTACGAAGATATACGTTTGTTTCGCCGGTGTTTAGATAGTAAAATATTTGGTACACAAGAACCGTCTCCACAAAGCTACCCGTCCCCAGCGAATATAAATTGGTTTGCCAAGAATGGAGGCGTCAATAAGAAACTGCCGAATTCCAGAGCCAAAATGGCGACCATACGGGAAACTTGGCTCTACTTTCTCAGAATCCAGTGACTTTTGTCGCACTCACTGAATAGAGAATCGGCGGCCGATTTCGGTAGACCATCGCAGCTCGGAGCACATGGAGCAGCACCTAGCTCTGCAGAACCCAGAAATCTTTGGCTCGATCGCTATCGCTGTCCGTTTCGATCTGAGTAAGCGTGACACCAGGGAGCAGACAGGCAGCTCTGCTGTGTGATGCGGGTTAAATTACCCCAGGCGGGTAGTGGTAATACAGTGAATAAATATCCCATTTACAGCGTACATCACTGTCACCATACCTAGGCGAACCAAGCTGACGCTGTGGAAACACGCACGTTTAATTGACCTTTGCTTGAGGGGGTCATACCACTCTTTTATAGATATCCTCTGAACGCCCTAGGAAACTGTACTGAATCTGAAATATTTTGTTCCTTCAATAGACATTTACAAAACAGCACGCCACTTAGTAGCTGCAGCACCAATTTCCCGGGTCTGCCATTGCTTCGACATGCACTGTCTGACTCATGTTTTGGACGTGAAGCTGGGTCAGTGTTCAGCGTGATCTAGATTCAGCTCGTATCAAGAACGAGTTCCGCTTCATCGTTGGGTGAGGACTCGGATTCGACCACACGTATTCGTGCCCAAGAAATGGCGACGGCCAATGTTCCGTAATGGGGTTTTGAAAAGGGTCTAATTGACAACGCCATCGGGCTCGGCAGGGTAAAGATAAAGTCGTTCAAAGTGAAAGAGTTCGGCCGATGGGCGACGTTTTTGTCCCGCTAGAAAACGCCTGCTTCACTACAACACAAAATGGAGTGCTGCCTTATCAAAATACGGCCGTGGTTTTCATAACGCGTCAATAACACAAAATGGTGGAGGTAACGTGCAATTTTACGGTTGCCAAACTCACCCAGAAGTGGATACACGCTATACTGTCGGCATCTTGAAGAGATTGTCGAACCCATCCTGTATAGAACTTTTTGGCTTAACCCTCTTTCTCAGACACGTAGTTGAAAAATCCAATATGGGGAATGCAAAAACAAAAATGCAAGTCATTACAATCTGGAGTAAGTGAAATAATATAAAAAAGGCAAGCCAAGAATAATATCTTTACCAGTGGGATGAGACAGCAAAAACGATATTTTCGCGCATACCGGAATTTTTGCGGTTCAACATGGCGGTGCCCGTGTAGAAAAGGTTTATAAATCTTCTCCCGGTAAACAGCGTGATCTGTCACATTGGCAAGTCCATGACATATCCTAATTCGCCGTCGGCTAAGGACTGGTTCGCACTGCTGCGTATGAGTGCCTTGCGTTCCGTCGGTATACCACGTACGACGTGAGAAAACAATGGAACAGCAGTACCACCTAACAGGGACCCCTGGAACACTTGCGACCCCTGTATGTATGTTTGTAATGTTGGACGCATCATTCTTTTTCGTGAGCTCGAAATAATTCTTTCTATGATGATAAGCGGCTATTTATCGCAGATTGTGCCTAGATGACGTAACGCAAAAGACGTCAAGGCCTTCAGCCAGTACTTAAAAAAAGAACAGAAATCTTCCAAGGCTACCTGTTAGATGGCGCTCTTGCGCCAGAGTGTGTAGATCTTTAGAGTCTTTCCAACTGCTCTACCGAAGTCACGTGTTTTATGGGCCGGGTGTGCAATACAAGCCTCGAGGGGGAGTCGAAGGCGTCGATCGTTCGCAAGCGTTTCTGCCTTGCTCTGTCTCTGCACACCCGCCACCCTCCTCGCCAATCGACAACGACAACGTGCGCATGCGCACGTGGATCAAATATGCGTGGAAGGCTATAGTCATTCAATTTCAAACGGCTTGAGATGGACCCTCCCTTAATTCTAGGCACTTCAATGTTCTCCGATGGTAATCAGTTACGAGGGAACCCAACGCACTGGAGCACACTCAAACGCGAATGTGCGGATCAGCCCTAATACTTCACATGAAGCCGAGTTTTGTCCCAGACGCTTGCGAGGAGGAAGGACCCCGTGGAGAATCTAACCGTATGGCCTTACGGCACTCTCCCTGCCTCAGCTGTTCGAGAAGGCAGAGTTCGAGAAGTCTGCCAGCAACCTTCTGGCGGACCTGGGCAGCGCGTACACGTTGCGAGGAGGCGCGCCCCTGGGCTCCGATATGGGCGCGTACGCAGGTTCCAGGGCCGGAGCAGTGCGCTCGGGTCTCCTGTCCAGGGACATGGGCGCCTGATGACCCCACTTTCGGTTGGGGGCGCCCATCGAGTCTCGGCTCTCTCTTTCTCTCCTCTCCACTCCCGTGAGTACCCGGGCTTTTCCATTTTTTTAAAGCGACAGCTGGTATACTGTTGCAAGTCAAGAAAAGCAGGACAAGCTTATCTCGCCAAACCCTTCACTCTTTCCATTTTCGAAGAGAGGACGCTGAAAAGAAGGCGATTTAATGCGAGGAGGGACTCGCTTCCTCTTCAGCCTTCGCTCTCTAAAAAGATAAATAGGGAAGGCCTCGACAGAAAGAGCTCGTCCTTTTTTTTCTTAACCTTATCATGCATGATGTTGGATCAAGACTGTGAAGAGAAACTCGAAGACAGAGAAAGGGGACAGAAGAAACTGGACAGGCAGTGTTTCAAATACTTAGATTTGAGACGCTCTGTCCACTTTCTTCTTTGTTCATCAAGTTTTCTTTCTAGTCTCAGAGTTTATGCCTGATGATTATTACGCACCAGCTCGCCTGCACTTTGAGCATTGTTCTTAAAGGGACACTGAAGCGGTTGTGTATTTGAGAGGAAACACTCATATCGCCTTCATTGGTTCTCCAGGATCACAAACACCGACATTATTTTTCTAATTTGGTGCACGGATGCTGCAGAAAATAATTTGCAAAGTACCACTGAAACCCCTCCTTCCCGCAGCGTGAAGTCATATCAGGAGTTTTGGGAATCTCCGTTCTCGCGCATTTTTAACGCCTATCAAATCTGCGCACGCGCACTGCGGCTATTTTCAAAAGGGTCAGAAAAAGACGTTATGGCTGGTGCCAGTGCGGTGGAATATACCTGGAAAGCTCGCAATTGCACGCGCTGTCCACAACGAGCGACACGCGCCTAGCGGCCGAAAGATCCTGGCATGACGTAACGACTGGTCGGAGGTTTGTCGCGTTCACTAGCGTTTAGTTACAAGCCTTCTTTAACCTCTGTGTCCCATCACCTCTTCCTCACTCTCCGTCGAAGTCGAAGACAATTAGCAGATCAAACTTTCTTAAACTCCATATAATTAAGCCTGCAATAATAGGATCTTTGTTTCGTTTCTATTTAAAATAAATTGTAACTTCTTAAGTTCTAAAAAACCTGGATGGCGTTCGCGGTGTAAGATGTTTGGAGAAGTCAAAACTTCAAACAGAAAGCAAAACTCAAATTTCGCTAGGTTTTTGCCTTTGAGTCAAAGCATCTCTCAGTCAGATATAGCACACTAAAATAAAGTCTGAATATATCACGTTCTCGCGGCTCCGATTAATAAAAAACATGGAAAAAGCTTGTGTGGTGGTTAACTTAATGGTCTGCAAGGTGGCCAGTGAAAACTAAACTTTCGAAATTAGATGTACAGATTAGAAAGTTATTTCGAGGCGTCATTTTATGGCCAGAGACATTCCCAGTGAAAGACCTTGCATAATAGGCTTATTTTCAAAGATAAATACGCGTCCAAAACAAACTAAATAAACATAAGGAGCGAAAGTATGCAGCCGAGCTAATTAGGTCGCATCATAACCTCAACCGTGTCTCAGGGTTTAGATTATGAAGAAACACCTTTCTGAGGTCGCAATATCTAGAATGGGCTAACGTTTTCGCGCTTCTTTCCGCTTTTTCTAAACATTGCAACAGGTGATTATTATAACCGCTGAGATAGGCTTTCAAACACCCGAGTTATATCATACAAGAAGTGGCTAATTTAATCGAGCACTCCAATAAAAAAATAATATTGCTTGAGCCTGTAAGTGTACTCTAGAGTCGAGAAAAACAAAGCTATCGGAACTATTCTACCTAGATACCAAGCCTAGGATGTAAAAAAAAAAACAATAAAAACATTTAACAAAATTTTAGGTAACTTAAAACACCCTCCTATGCAATCTGCGACCACCGCCTCTTTGCAACTCACATAAACACTGAATTCTTCCACCGGCAGCGCTGTCCGCTCAACCCAATATATGCACTAAAATTATCTTTAACTCTTCGACATTTACCAGTGTCGAGCCGCTCAAAAGGTGAAACGACAAAATTGAATGGCGGCTGAACATACGCGGATGCGCACTATTATAAACTGCCCAGTCATGGCAAAGCTTTCAATCAGCTAGAGCTGCCCTCCTCCTGCATCACGCACTCGCTATCCCTTTCTTCTATCGTGGCCGATTTACGTACACCGACCGTAAATATTGGCCGACATAACCGAGGTACGCTCGGACTACCTTCAACAACATTGCGACATTTTTTTTTAGCACTGCAAGTAAGCGCTGGGGCCACCTATTTATTGCTTGTTTCCCCTACTTAAAGAAGCAATAGAGAAGTTTCAACGGCTGTAATGCACATTGCCAGGATCAAATCTCGGGGCGTGGCCTGAAAGTTTTTTAGAAAATAACTTAGAGTGCTGGTTTGCTTTAGGATTTGCTTCGATCTACACGCCGTGTGCACTCATGCATTGTTTTTTTAGTTCAGCCTCTCTTTAATCATGACTAAAAAATACACGGCCCGCGACTTATCTTTACCAAACTCTGCTTTTCTAGGCGGGTATTGACTGGTGCAGGAAGGTCGACTAGCATAAAGCATTTCTTGTAGCACTATATCTCTAAAAAAAACCACCGAAAATATTCATTTGGTCTCCACAACATATCTCTATATATTGGTTTATTTTATTGTCTGCCTTATTTTATTAAGAGCGCAAACTGAAAACGTCAAAATGAAAAGCTAATATAACTTCCTGGAACCGCCGAACGTGTCCTGGAGCTTGTGTGCCGTCCTCCAATCGGAGTGCGTTCATGTTTTCTTTAAAAATGATGCAGGAAAGGAGTTTTCTGCAGGGTGTTTCTTCGGGGGAAAACATGATCAGTTCATTTGAGCCAAAGTGTATGAAAACAACGTGGCAGTACTTTGGTCATTTCTGGCAAAACTGCCTTTTTTAGCATACGTATGACGGTCTTATTTTGGTAGATATTAGAAATATTATTTCGATTAAAACGGACAGCAAAACTTCCGACGAGAATGCCATTGGTTTCTACTACCGCCATTTGTTCGCTCACGCCACTAAATGACAGTGAGATGCCACCCGCCGGGAGCCCTGCTACGCAGTGGTACTACTGCAATTGCCACCAAAGATCGATATGTACCAAGTAACCTAAATCCGCAACATTTGTCTAATTGCAACTTTGTGTGTGTGTGTGTGGGGGGGGGGAGGCGTTTTTTTGTAACGTTAGAAAGAGTCAAGTCCTTTTCCGCGCCATTCTATATTAAAATGTCTACTCAACGTCCTCGTCACTGTGCCCTTTTTCTAATTTTTGGTGAAGGCTGCAGGATTTATGACCCGTAATTAACACAAATTGAATAGATTTCTACGAAGGAGCAGAAATGTAACGGTTATCAAATGGTTCTGTTCAGCAAGACTTTTAGCTGTGCTAGTTACTGCATGACGTCCAGGAAAATTGTAAGTGAAACAGACACGGACAGAAGGAAGGCACATGTCAGTGTCCCGTTCTTCCTGTCCGTCTCTACTCTTACAAATTTTCTGAGAGTTCTGGTTGCCAATATTTGTAGCTCAGTCCTTTTTTAACCCAGGTTTAGGGAACCAGGAAGACATTAACGCACCCCTACCCCACGTGTTTGTTTCCTACTAATATTCATTAACTGGTGTCGTATCTCTTCTTTCTTCACCCAGGTTCTAACTCCTCCGAGACAGTTTCACCACTCGCCTAACAGCCCTCCGGTTCTCCCCTCTACTCTTCTCGCTTGTTTTCTCACCTCAAGACGCTTCAGCCTGTAAAAAGAATCATGCTGCGAACAGCTAACGAAACCAATGAAATGATCGAATAAAGAACTTGCCGAATCTTAAAAGCTCCCTGAATAAAGATCTCGCCGAATCTTAAAAGCTCGCCTGGGCAGACATGGAAACTAAAATCGATGTCTTGAAACTTGACGGACTGGAAGCGCCATCTATTGCGGAGTGCCTCAAGCTTGCCCTGGTGAAGAAACCCGACTATCGCGCCCCTGCCATACAACGCTGGAGCGGAAATTCAAACCGACCGGATTTGTCGAAGGTTATGTCACAATGGTTGTTTCATTCACCCTTCCTTCTGACTAGAGATAACATCTACGAGCTGTCCGCGCCAATCTCGTGGCTCTAACGTGTCACGTGCCTTCTCAGGCAAAGATCCCAGTTCGCGCGGACCGAAATCACGTGATAAAATAAAAATATGCGATTGGCGCGCAGAACTGGTAGCTTCGGCTGAAAGTTGGACGGGAGCGTGACTGGTGTTTGGTTGTTTAGTGGAAACGAAGTATCGCTATATCGCGATGGCGCGTTGGTCTTGTGGCAACACCTGTAGAGGAAGCAAATGATGTAGAATAAAATACGTTTGCAGCTTTTCGGTAATAAATGTTGAAATAAAGGATCTCTCCGCTTACTCTTGTTTGAAATCTACTCTCCTTTTTTCTTCTATTTTATTAGTGCAGGATTGCGTTCTTAGCGGAGCTAACTCGGATTTAGCCACGAAAAATAAAGCGTGTCACCGCCACGGCCTCGTCTAAATGTATGGCTGTCGAACTCACGTGCCCCGAGATCCGCCGCCCATACAACGGAACTGCGAAAACGAAGAACAACGGAGAAAAACCAGCAGCATAAAAAGGTAGGAAATAGGCTCCGAAATGGCTTTGAGAAAACTTTGGCAGCTGGGAAAATTTCAATAAAATACAAAATGGTTCAAATGGAGATCGCTGCGTCTATGAAGTCAAAGGTACGGGTACGCATCCACAAATGCCGATTAAAACTCTACACGAGGATTCCTCCTCACGTCGAAAATGTCGAAGAAAGTTGTCCACGGGTGTCGACACGGAAGTCGCCTGCATGGAAGTTTGAGACTGGAGTTACCGTCCACTCTGTTCCTTGTAAAACGCAATTCTGCATATGACCGTTTGATCGATGGATCAAAATGAAGCCATTTTATTTTCACTCGGTCAAGAATCATGCTTCACGCTCTTAGCACCCGGCCACTTGAGCGTTTCGTTTTACTTCACTCCTAATGAAAACCTTACACTATTTTGGTACATAAATTAACGTTACAGCCACGTTTCATTAATTTAAGTATCCGTAACAGTCTCCGACAATTGCCGAGTGCTTTAGGGCGCTCCCTATTTCAGCATGCTTTATGATCCGGCGTATCTTTTTTTTTTTCACATGACGGAACGTAGTCTCTTAATCTCGCTTTTAGCAACAAAGAACTGTGTCCAAAATATTTCGCACTTTATACGGACCCGTGTTTCACATAATTGTTGGGTGCTATGTTTTGATTTGCCAGTCTCAGACTTTTGTTTTAAAAAAATTTGGAGCATCACCAGCTAGCTTCACCCTGAAATTTTGTTTGTGAATACTGCGTGGTTTATACATATCATTGTTTCAGATAATTGATAATTGTAAACGCTGAATGTAAAACAAAAAACCTTTTTGGAGGTTGCACGTGGAGCAGTGCTACGCTTAAACTGAACGGGATGTAAGTAGAACGACTCTATACGTACCAGGCACGTGTTTTAAATAAATAAATACATATATGAAGCGAGAAGAACCGGTGCTCTATATGTAATCTTCGAATACATGTGGACCATTAATTTAACTGGAACCTATATGGAAAAAGATTAAAGACGTAAGCGCGTCCAGAAAGTAAATTCAGTTTCAAATATTCAAGTTACGCAACATTGTATCTAGAAAGCTTTGTAGATAAATTCTCGTGCAAAATAATTTGTCATATCATAGTACAAGGTTATGGATACTCATGTCATGGGAGTCTGCAGCCTTACCGCCGGATTCAGAAACCTCACTCAAACTACACTCAAACTGAAGGGCCCCTCCACTTCCTCGAGGAAGGCGCGAGGGCCGGCGCTGGCCAATCGCGAGGACGGATCCGCCGTCACGATTGGCCAGCGCCGGCCCTCGCGCCTTCCTCGAGGAAGTGGAGGGGCCCTTCAGTTTGAGTGTAGTTCGAGTGACGTTTCTGAATTCGGCGGTTAGTCTCGTGCCAACGTCTTTAGCAGCCGCCATCAAGACAATCTGGGCTACTGAGGTGTTCTGCAACAATTTTGTGGAGTAGAAATTTCCAAACTTCAGGAACATACGTTGCAAGATCAGAGGTTGTAAGGCATCGGCCCTCTAAAATTTCTATTCGCTTCCTCCACCAAATTTTCCATGACCAGAGGAAGCTAACAGCTTGGCAATTTATGATACACGCACTGTAGTCTTTCATGAAACATTTGTACACGATTCGGCACCATTGCTTCGCTCAAATTGTTGTATTTATTTTTTACATAGATGGTTTTTATTGGCTCTTCCTACCACTGGAAATGACGTTCGTTGTTGTAGTGGTTGATGTTGTTGAAGCTGTAGTTGGAGATGTAGGGCATTCGTCGTCGATGTCGCAAAATCCTTGAAAAAAATCGCCCGCCGCCCCCGCGGGATTCGAACCCGAGTTCGCCGCGTGCGAAGCGGAAGCATTGCCACAAAACTACACCGCAGCTTTTTAAATTGCAGCCCTAAGGTGCCCGCTTCCGCGTTGAGCAGCGCCGCTGTCACCGCGTGCGTTTCATTATGGGATGGCAGAGTTTCCCCGCTAAATTTTATGGGGAAACCGATTGCGCAGTGTTGCATTATGGGACGTCACAGACCTATATAAACACAAATTCAGTTTCCCCGCTAAATTTAGCGGGGAATCGAATTGGTGTTGAGGTCACGTGACGTTAATTTTCTCAGTAAATCTAGCGGAGAATCTGTATTTGTTCATGGGTGACTTGGCACAAAGTCATGTGACGTCATCTTCCCCACTAAATTTAGCGAAGGAATCGAATTGGTGCTGAGGTCACGTGGCGTCAATTCTCCAGCTTAATTTAGCGGGGAAGCTGTGGAGGAAGGGTACAGGTAAGGAGCAGAGGGTACGCAGAAGGGAGAAGGAGAGGGCACGGAAGAGGAGGAGGGGAGGAGGAGGAAGGAGGGGAGGGTACGAAAAATGAGGAGGGTATGAAGGAGGAAAAAGACATGGAAGAGGAGGTGGGTGCAAAATCAATATGTTAAAAGAGTGATCTATATATATATATATATATATATATATATATATATATATATATATATATATATATATATATATATATATATATATATATATATATATATATTTCTTTCACAAAGAGTTTAGCACGGTATATTGCAAAATCAAAATACCTCAAGAGCTGCGCTCTAACTTCACATTACAGAGGTTAGTAAACATCCTTTTTTTTTCATTATTGCCCGTTCGGACAAGTACAAAACAAAAGGATGACACTGTTAAAACTACTACCCGTATGCTATCAATGCGTGGTCATAAAATCTAAAATTATTTCAATGTGTCACGTACGTTGTGCATTTACACCCAATCAGGCCCACATTTCAAGTTGGGGTATACAAACTCTACTCTGGAGGCATATTTTATTAGTTACGTACGTATGGGTCGGTTATCCACATCGGCGTGCCTCACCGCAATTCTACTACGCCATATGAAATACGGGCCCAGGATCATGACTAGATCGACAGGGATAAATTTCAGCTTGTCTGTCCACAGGAAGAAACCTCATGCTATATGGGGTTAAAGGCAAGCCTTTTTTAATAGTTCGCTGGGGAACGTCCCAGAAAGAAAAAGCTTCCCAAAAGTCAAGAAAAACATGTTCTAAAGTATCAGGCTTTTTGTACAAAAACAATCAATGCCTCACAGTGCGTCATTTTATTTCTCCCTCTAGTCAAGTTTTGACAGAAAGTGCATTGGTAAGTAACAGGAAAAAAGGTTTTAATAGAAGGGGCAACAATCATCTTTTCTTTTAGATAAGACGCTGCACTCTGGGCCGGCATGAAACATGGAACGATACAATGGTACAGGAGAAACTATTTTACTAAGGTCACGAGTTAAGCGCTTGCATGTGACAGTCGACAAATATTGAAGAGAACAACGCACAGAGAGAAAACGACATGCTTTCACCATTTCTCAAAGAAAACTGCTCAGTTACTTCTGCTCGGTTCAACATGGCGAAACAACAAATAAAAATATTAATTTCGTCTGCAAGTATCGCTTGAAGAGTCATACGAAAAAAAAATGGTTGGTTTGCCTTCTACGGAACATAAAATGGGATGCAGTCTGCGCAACATACAAGTGAGATAATGATAGCCCTCCCTTACTGACGCGACGGAGAAAATTGTCGCGATGCATTCTCTCCGAACCCAACCACCAGATAAAAAAAAAAAGAAGACGATGTAGTTTTTAGCACACGCAAGCATATGAATAAGGTACACAATTTTCGCGATTAAAATATTATCATAAGCGGTAGCACGCGTAAAAATAGGCAGATCCCATTCTCTCCATTTGCCAGCTGCTTCTCGTGTTTCTGTACTACTGATGACCAGTATCGGTTCGATCTCCTACATTGTTGCAGAGGAACACCTACGCGCTATGGCGGTGTCTACGTAAAATTTAGGTTTTCAAAAACGCCGGGCTTTGTGACCCATGTTTCGTGCCATAAGCAGCAGTACTTTTGGCAATTGACAGCAGCACCCCTATCTATGCTCCCAGTAGACCTCCCCTTCACAGACCGGTGCTGTGATGCCGCCGTCTTCTTTAGAAAAAATGGCGACGTCGTCCGCATAGGACCGGAGTTTGACCTCTTTATTTTGTAATGAAAACCAATTAATACATTTATCGCGTATGATAGTTCGAGAAAAGTTCCTTAAATAAATACTAAACAACAGTGGTGATGGCGGCCGGCAACCCTTTTTAACTGACGAATCCAGAGAAATCCGCTTTATTGGTTTCTAGTCATTTATGATCCGTGTTGTACATCCCGTGATTGACAGTTGAACAATTTTTTTTTATAAATCTTTCCACTCGTACGTATTCGAATACTTTACACAGTACGGCATGCTGCTCACGTTGAGATGCTTTTTCTAGATCAATTTGGAGGCTGCAACCTGATCAAGTTCAGCATCGCACAACTGTAATATACGTCTCGCAATGTTTAGGCTCGTTAAATAGAATCTACCTCGGATACCACAGATCTGTTGATACCCTATTTGTCGCAAATAACATTCTGTAGCCCATAGGGTGAGACTTCTCATTATCATTTTATAGTCGACGTTACCTAAAGCAGTGAATCTATAATTCATAAATTTTCTAAATTTTTGTGCATCGTCGACTTCAGGATCAATAACAGTACGAGTATGTGTAGAGAGGAAGGCGGTAACCTGTCTGCCTCGCGCACCTCGATTACTACGGCATGCTGATGCGCAGTTACATGGTATATACATTTATTTTTATTTTTATTTGTAAAATGACGCAGTTAATTTATTCACACCTGGATATGGTGGCTAGAAAGGGAAATGTAACGAGCGCCGTATTCGTG